CCCGCCCTGCTCCAGAGCTTCGGCGCCCCCTGGCGGCCGCCTGGGGGGTGCAGGGCTTCCGTAGGGGCGGGGCTTAGGTCCTACTGCCCCGCCTCTCGGGCCTGGGCTGGGTCTGGGGCGGTGATTACCAGCGGGGGCTGCAGAGGTTTCAAAGGACGTTACTTTAAGAAGGGGAGAGAAGAAACACACACATACACACACACACACTGTCCACCCACCCACCCTAGTGTCGCTCGTGGTTGCCGACCGCGACTGGCGAGCTGAACTAATTCTCCGAAGCCTGGGGAGGAGGGAAGAAGGGAGGGCCTGGGGCCCAAAAGTCCAGACAGGGCGGCGCGCCCTGCGCGCCGGAGCGCGGAAGTGGGGGGGCCTGAGTCTGCACCCGCCTGCGTCCGAGCCTCAGTAGGGGTGACGTCATGCCAGCCAGAGTTAGCGGAATCCAGGCCACTGCCTCCCCTCCCCAACTCCGATTCCAGAATCAGGTTCCTGAGCCCAAGCTAATTAACCAGACCCAGCGAGCCGGGGTGGGAAGGTTAGAAGGGAACCGATGAGAGGGGGCAGTCCGAAGGCTGGGAATAAAGGAGTCCTGTGCTTTAACCACGGGATGAGTTCGGCTAAGATGGTCTAGGCGCGCCTGGCAAGACTTGGAGTGGCTACCCTGCCCCATGCTGTTTTCACGCAGGTAGTGGGGTGGCTGTTTGTGTCCTTGTCTTGCTAGAGTCCTAGAAAAACCAGAGAGCCATAGGGACCAAGTCCTAGCTCCACCTTCATCTGTCATCCTGGGGAGCAGGTCGCTTAACCTTTCTGGGCCTTGGTTTCCTCCCTTGAAAAATGCATCTGGACTAGATTACGGGATATGTTTCCAGTACTATATGTTTCCAGCACAGGAAATGAGGGTGTCTGTCTAGACCCTCTTGCAAGTCAGAGAAAAAGGTATCCCTCAGTCCTGACTTCCTTACAGCTCCCTCACAAACTCCAGGGCTTCTCTTGGCTTCAGCAGACATTTGGGCACCTCCTCCTAGTCGCCAGATGCTGGCTTGCCCTTCATGTTTATGAGATCTGGGGTAGGAGTTCATGTGGAAGGCCACATACCTCTAATATTTAAAAGTCTAGATATTTAAAAGTTATAAATCAAGCTAACACAACATCAAATAAAACATGTTCTAGTCTCCTACTTGATAAGTGTATTTGTAACAATCTCAAATGCCAAGTTCAAGTCCAGAAATCTTATATTTCTCAGCATTCTGGCCTGGAAATTTGCTCACAGAGAGTGGCCCAGCTTGAGGCCATGCATGGTGTCCCTCCCTTCCCAGAGCAGATCTATAACCCCCCTTTCCCCCATGTCCAACATCTGTCTACATCTCTACAAACAGCTGCCACTTAGCAGGTCACCTTTCAAGCATGCACACTGGTGACACAATCTCCCTTCAGAAGACTAGACCAAAGGAAGTGGGTTCAGAGCCTGTTGGATGGGGAATTCTGAATTCCTGGGAGCCATGGGCACATCCCTTGGCCCCAGGGACTCCCTGTCTGTGTCTCCCTACTTCTGTCACCAACTAGTGTGGTCCCTTGCTTTAGTGGTACTCATGGAAATTAAAACAAAAGCAGACAGTAGACGGTAATGGATTTACAGGCAAAGTTTTAATTGGCAAGAGAGAAGATAAGAAGAGACTCCAGCTGGAGTAGTTGCAGCGACACAGTCTGATAAAGAGGATCAGACTAGCCTGCCCACCATTTTCATGGGGTGTCTTGGTTCCATGGGTCTGGGGTCTGGCTGATCAATATCTCAGTCCTGGTTTTGTAGCTCCTGGTTTGACAGGTGATTATAGTAGTTCCCAAGAAATAGTTGTTTTTACTTGGGCCAGTCTCAGCGATGTGATATTCTATCTTTGCGATATTCTATCTTTGCGGGGACCTGGGTGACTATCAGTTCAGGGCAATAGCTGGAGACTTCCAGGCTGCATTCCAATTGGGGGGGATGGGAGTGGGGGTTGGGGTGGGTCTGGAACTGGCCCTTGTAAAAGCTGGTAATCAGATATTCCTGTGAATCCTGAAAATCACACTGGTTACTCTTGGTGTCCTCAGTCTTGAAGGGCAAAATGATAGCCTAGGTAAATTTAGGGCTAATAAACCTTGTTTTGCCAGATTTTTTAAATGATTGACATATCTAAATCCAAAGTTTTAAGGTAATGAAGGATACAAAATGAAGCTCAAGCTTTGTTTTTCTTTTAGTTACCAATTGGAGCATTTGTAGGCCCAAGTGAATAGTCATATTTTAGCAAAAAAGCACTATTTTTTTAGTACTGGGGATTAAACACAGGGTCTTTGCATTGAGCTTCATACCCAGCCCCTTTATTTTTATTTTTAATGTTTTTTTGGTACTGGGGATCAAACTCAGGACCTTGAGCTTGCCAGGTAGGTGTTGTGCTGCTGAGTTAAATCCCCAGCCCACTAGCCCCTTTTAAAATTAAATTTAACCTTTAAAAATTTGAGACAGGGTCTTATTAAATTTCCCAGGCTGGGCTTGAACTTGTGATCTTCCTTCCTCAGCCACCCAGAGTACTGAGCTTTACAGGCATATGTCACCATGCCTAGCAAAATACCAAAACCAAAAACACTTTTAAGTCTCTGCCCCAGAAGTAAAATACTACTTACACTTTTAATGAGTAACAGGTTAAGGGCCTGGGAGTTTGTCTTTTGTCCCTGTGGTGGTGTCTGTGTCGTGTCATGACTGTGTGACCTCTTTCCCAGGCTGGGGGTGGTACTGACTGGGCATGTGGGGGTGGCAGATTTCACGGGGCCATCAGGATGCTAAGAACTGCAGAGTCCTTTCCTGGGAGCTGGGAGGAGGGAGCACTCACTTCTGAGAGCACTTGTGCTAAGCCCAGCCGTAAAACTGAGATTACAGTAGGAAAAGAAGTGAGGAAAGAAAGGAGCTAAGGCCTAGGCACTGGTGTCTAGGGTCTGGGTGTCTGTGAATTGTGCCTACAGTGCAGAAAGGCAAAGGGTGAATCTGCGTTCTCCACAAAGCAAGCAAAGCTGCCAGTGTTTGCAAGCTGAAGAGCCCCCAAGGACCAGTCTCACCTATCAGAGCAGGATGAGACCTTGCAGCCCATCCCTGGGCAGCTCTGCAGTGGCAGATGTCCAGACACCAGTCAGTGGTACTTTGTCACCTTAGCAACTGGCACTGCTTCGCCAATTCCAAGGTGAGGGAGCTTGGCTACCAAGAACTTCCATAAGGAATTCAGCCCACACCCCTACTTTGTTTGCATTAAGATACGGCCCTGGAAAGGGTTTCCTTAGGAATCAGTGCATCTATTTAAATTTGCCTGGTAGCTAGAGACTGCTGGGAAAGGACAGCCCCTCCCGGTCCATAGGAGCAGCGCTGTGCCCGCAGTGCTTGGTGGACAGATGCCCAGGCGCCCTGCTCCGGTGCTGAGAGCTCCCACGAGGGTTCAGCAGCAGCAGAACAAAGCAGTGGTCGCCCCGACAGTGGTGACTTGATTGACTATTTTCCCCTTCCCTTCTTTCCTGGTGGTGCTTCTCTCAATCACTCCCAAATGCAGCAACTCCCTGCCAGTTCTCTGGAGTCCGCCTCTCATCAAATGAAGGCAACTTGCTCTGTCTCCTGGCCGTCAGGTTAAGCATGCCGCTGCAGCAGTATTATTGCCAAGTGATGTGTGTATCTGTGTGAAGCAGGGGTTGGGTAAAGAAAAATCTGGTTTAGTGTGGGGTCTCCCTCTGAGAGTGCTCACAGGAGGCCCCTGAATATCCAAACCTATGAACCCAAAGGAAGAATTTTGTCTTTTCCTTTAACTAGAGGCCCCTTGCTGGGTCCCTGCCAGCTGTCCCCAAACCAGTGTAGCAGAAATAACAAAGAAACACTAGTTTTTTTTCCTCTTTTGCTGATGAAGCTTTTCTAGAAGGTGACCTACAGGAAAGATATGTAACCTGGGCTGCCTTATTGCACATGCTGACTTAGCATAGGCTCCTTCTCCTCTTGTCCCTTCTACTGCTACCAAATAGATCACAACCCAGGGCTGGCCTGGCTGCCAACCTGCCCAGGAGCCCCTCTTGTGGCTGGGGCAGGCTCCAAAAAGAAAGCCCCTTCTCCTACGTTAATTTTTGGTTAACAAGGTCTTGTCTGAAGTTTCTCTTTGGGGACTTGTCTATTAGCCATACTTCTTCTTCTTGCTCTTTTTTTTTTAAACCAGGGATTGAACTCAGAACCTTGTGCTTGTGAGGCAGGCAGTGGAATCACTGAGCTAAATCCTGGTCCTCAGTCATACTTCTATATTTGATAAGATGCCAGGCATGGTGGCACACACACCTATAGTCCTAGCAATCTGGAAGGCTGAGGCAGCCTCCTGCTTCAAAAGTTTGAGCCCAGCCTGGACAACTTAGTGGTCTCAAAGTTAAAAATTTACAAAAGGGCTTGGGGGCTGGGGATTTAGCTCAGTAGTTCTGCCGCCTGCCTCGCAAGCACAAGGGCCCGAGATTGA